CTTATTTGTTGGTTCTTCCAGTTATAAATGCTTAATAAAGAAAATAAGATTAATTAAGTAAACATATTTTTCCTACAAAGAATGAAAGAGTGTAACAATTTAATCTTGACATATTTATATGTTGTACTCACCCGGATGGATTTCGGTCATGAATGATCAACTCAAGAATCCCTCTCAGACTCAACAAAATATCTACATAAAAAAAGAAGATATTAAGAGTATTATATTGATACTAAATTAATTTAGTAAAACAATATTTAATCTATATTCCAACCACATGAATGATGATTGGATGTGAGAATGAATGGCAGATTTCTAAAACAAAATAAAATCCATGTGTACTATATGTATAAAGTTCTAAAGAATTAAATACATTTGTGTACATAATAATTTTTTTTTATTACATAACCACGCCATGAAACAGACTACTCCTATGGGTTGGCAAGGGATCCTTTATAATGAGAATATAAATTCATACTTACCTTGTTCATCTGTAATTTCACAGATTCATCATGGATGTGGCCAATGCCGAAAAAAAGGACGAGTGTTCCAGTGCACGCTGTGCGACTTCAAACAGATTAAAAAGTATGCGATAAAACATTATCTAAAGACCCATGTGATAAAGGATGAAGTACCCTTTACCTGCAAACATTGCGATTTTGTATCCCTTACAGAAAAAGAGTTAATAGCCCATGGAAAATGGCACGGACCTCATAAGGGGACAGATGTTCCAGTAGAGATAGTTCAGGCAGTAAGCCTTTTGTTTGGAGGGAGGATCTGCTATCTAGATGGGAGCAGGCAGCATCCCTAGCATATTGGATGAACATGGGGGCCAAGAAGAGTAAAGATGTTGACAGTGATAGAACTTCTTTGACGACTCTTTTGGAAGAAGCATCGGAGTTTGTACCTGCAGAGACGGTGATTAGTCCCACTGCAGAGGTGGTTGACATTTTGCCACAACTATTAGGAGAGGAAGAGGCGGTCTGGGATGGTGAAAAAAATGACGTAGTTTCGGCTTTAAAGGAGTTGCAGGCGGAGGTGAAGAGGCAGGGGGAACGCCAGGTTGCAGCGCTCAGAGAGCAGACAACAACAGTACAGGAACTAACGAAGACTTTGAGTAATTATTTCTATAGCAACGGACCAAGGCGGGGTCTCACCCCGCAGCCGGAAGATAGACCAGCCACTCCATCGCGCCGTGCCAGATCCCCCAGAAGACTGACATCGTACAATCAGGGATGGTTTAGGCCCCAGTTACGTCCTAAAGCCAAACAGCCCATGCCACGTAAGGGTAGAGTGGAGAATTACAAAAGAGAAAGGAGAGAGAGGGCGGAGACGCTTTTTAGGAAGTCTCGATCCAGGTCACCTTCATCGCTCAAGAAGAAGATGAAGTCCACTGTAGTAAAATGCGATAAGTAAACTAATTATAGATAGAAAGGTATATGTTTAATGGGTTTTTATATATTAGTCTGGGATGGTGGGTGGATTTTAGAATATTGTGTATATTCAGCATTTATTAATGCTTGTTGATGATAAATTTCATAGAACTTATAAGTATTATGTAATTATGACTTTGTATGACTTTGTATATGTTGTATGTACAGATTTTGTTTGAAGGATGATGTCTACACATATGTCTACACTATATATGGATCATTCAATGTAAACTGATATTTGATTTGTTGGAGCACTGCCTATATCTAGATACTTGATGTGTGAATTATTGTTTTAGTTGTTGTGGATTACAATAAGATGTTATTAAATAGAGAATTTGTAAATTCTCTACATAATTGGTTACTAATTGCCCGTAAAATTAGATATACTTAAGTCGGTTGTACAATGACGATTGGCTCCGCAAATTTAGGTGTATTAATGACGATTAATCACCAGGGGTTTAATGCTGTCCTTATGACATTTTTAGCATAATAGAAACCTTCAGAGAATTTTTGATTAATTTTGTTAGCATGGGTATACATGTCTTTTGTTACCATGGGTATGGCTTATGTTGCTGTGAGATACAGAAGTGATATATATTTTATTTGGCATGAATCGTTTTAAATGTCGCAATTATGTGTCTTGTCTGAATTATTATTTTGAGTATATGTAATGTATGTGAGTGTATCATCAATGTATTATTTTTGCTTAAATTGTTTACAATCTTTGACTTTATTTCAGATCATGTGTGTATGTTGATGGATGTATGTGACTTTATTATTAATTTTGTACATAGTATTTGGTGAGAATGTGTTGTAATATTGTTGTATGAGTGTAGATGTCTTTGTCTTATATACGTGGTTGCTATGATGAATGTTTGACGTTCATGAGGACATGAACAGTTTAAAAGAGGGGGCAGTGTAGTGCATGTGACCCCCCTTTTTTAAATGATGTAATAATAGTAATGTTAGGTTACATGGTGTAACTTTTTATTTTATCCACAACAGTGTTTAATCATTCTGAGTCAATGACTGTAATATTTTACTATATATGTGTGAGCTTGGAGCGGGTTGATTTTTCTATCAAATAGGGTCAATGACTGTAATATGTTATCATGCATTGTGGTGACTTGGAGCGGGTTGATGAAGTTTGTTTATTCACAGTTTTATTTTGTTTTACAGGAATGTGCTATTCGAGAGTTGTACCTAAGTCACTTAATTGTAAATGTATATACTTGTGAAACAAGGGTAGATTGATATATTTTGATAACATAAACATGACTGAGATAATTCGAACTGAGTTAGAGTTTGGTAAAAGATTAATAAAGTATGTCATTTGTAAATCAGCACTTAAGTATACATCCTAAGACTATAACTATGTGATACAGTATGTAATTGTTGTTTGTTTAGTGTTATTTAGTTGATATAATACCTGTGAAATAGTCAAAACTTCTGTTGTCACATTGTTTGACAGTTTCGCTCTTCATTACGATGTACTTCCGGTTTAGAAACTTGTTAAAGTAATTGATAAATTTATCCTTGCATTTGTAATATAACCGATAAATATATCGAGTTTGAATGGCGGTATCTTATGAATGACTGTATTTTGAGATGAACTGAATATTGTTTTAAGTTTAATTTGTTTTGTTTAAATTATTTATTGTAAAATATATTTTATTTAATTGATAAATATGTAAGAATTCATTATTTCATACTTGTATAGAATATTTGGTGACACTTGTTCACGTGAAAGATCGTGATATTTTACAATTGACCAATCAGATTGTTCGATATAATTGATCATTAATTGATAATCCAATGAAATTTCATAATTATTAATTCCGTTAATATCTGTCATTTTCCAGCACTTTCCGTTATTTTCTGTCATAGAGTCATATAAAAGTTAGACGCTGAGATTTTTTAGTCACTCTTCTGCTTATTTTGATTTGGTAGGTCCGTTTTACGGAACTCTCAGATCTTTTTAGGATTTTATTTTAATTTTTATTTTGTCTATCTTTTATTTTATTTTATTTATTTATTTTTATTTAGGAATTTATTTTTAATTTATTTATTTAGGATAGGGTTTTACCGTGTAGGACACAAAATAGTAAAATACTATTGTCCGCTATCGGTTGTTTTTAAAGACTCAACAGTCTATGACTGAGTAGTCTTCTTTAGTAATTAATTTATCTAGGATTATTTTATTTTTCATTTTTACTCTATTTTATTTCATTTTCATTTTAATGCAAACTATGTAACTAAAGTTATACGTTTGCTATCTTTCTCTTTTATGATGACTAAAGTTGATTAGTTCAACGAAAGTCAATTATTTATTTTATTTTCATACAGTAATTTAATTATTCTAGATATGTAAATTTCTCTTCAATTATTTTTAATAGAAATTATTTTATTTGAGTACTTGGGAATTTTTAAACGTTGCTTCTCGATAAACTTACTTATGATTATTAGAGTTATCTTTCTTTGCCCCTAGTGTTTACAAGCTAACCTGTTAAATACAGTAATGCTTGTCGTTAAGTTTTACAAGTCAAAGTTATAAATAACTACGACTTGTTGTCACATATTTTATACGTATAGGAATAGATACGTTAGATTTTTGGGGTGGTTTTTCAGTCTGTTTTATGGTATGATTTTAATTATTTATTTTAATTAAACATTTATTATTATTAGTTTGGTATGAATGTGGTGTGTATGTCGTCGTTGAAATAAACTGTTTGTTGATAATGCACCAATTAAATTTAATTGTTTAATGTTTATAATCTTATGTCTTCTTTGCGAATAGTACATTTATAAAAGGAGTTGAGTGAATTATTTATACTATGAAAACAGTTTCTAGCAGAACCGCTAGCGTTACATAAGGATGAACATAAAAACCCTTTAAAAAAGCTACACATGAATAACACACTAGCTAAGGATAAACATAAAAACCCTTAAAAAAAGCTACACATGAATAACACACTAGCTAAGGATAAACATAAAAACCCTTTAAAAAAAGCTACACATGAATAACACACTAGCTAAGGATAAACATAAAAACCCTTAAAAAAAAGCTACACATGAATAACACACTAGCTAAGGATAAACATAAAAACCCTTAAAAAAAGCTACACATGAATAACACACTAGCTAAGGATAAACATAAAAACCCTTAAAAAAAAGCTACACATGAATAACACACTAGCTAAGGATAGACATAAAAACCCTTAAAAAAAGCTACACATGAATAACACACTAACTAAGGATAAACATAGAAACCCTTAAAAAAAGCTACACTTGAATAACACACTAGCTAAGGATAAACATAAAAACCCTTTTAAAAAATACACATGAATAACACACTAGCTAAGGATAAACATGATTATATACTTTGACAAGATAATTTTGCTGTAATGGCAATACACACAAACATCCTCTGTAAATGATGTCTCTTAATGACATCTGAATCCGAGTTATTTTTTTTTACCGTCATAAATTTAACACTCGTTAAAGAAATTCTGTGCACTTTCTGCAAAATTTGCATTAAAATAGAAATGACACTTAAAAAAAGCACTGTTAAACCTTATTCCCTGAAAATCAAAAAAAAAAAAAAAAAAGGAAACGATAATCAGCTTTTCAAAGTTTGACAACACTTAATTAATGATTCAATTGAATTTTACAGTAAAATTCTCCACTTTTCCATTCATTGTTTCAATTTTACACTGAACAGGCATCTTGTCAGTAATGAATGACTCCAAATCGCTGTCAGGTTCACATCCAAATCTTTTACGTAGCATATCTTTCTCAATCTCGTATGTAGAATAATACTCTCATTTCCTATCATCAGTGAGTACATGGTCTCTTTCTTTTCGAAGGCAATTAATTTTCCTTCCATCACACTTGGTGGTGCTTCACATGGTAAACAATATAAAATAGAAAGTCCAAATTATTTACACAGAGCTTCAAATTTTTGGAGATACATATTTATCTACTGATTTTTTTCTCTATCACCTGCATATAATTACCACTGTTTATGAATGAATGCTTATAAAGAATTTCATTGGTTGATGTATTTAGTATGATTTCAATTCTGAATACTTTTGAGAAAGAATCAATATATAACATATCATTTTTTCCCATATAAATTTCATACAAGCAGAAAAACATTCAATCAATCATCAGCTGACAGCTTCTTATTTAAGACAGCCATTTTTTTCTACAAACCTGAATCGTGGTTCTTTGAGTGGTCGAAACAGACACCTCCTCCTGGTACGATGAAGTTACAACATTTGAAAATTCCAAGTACTCCCCAACCTTGCACATAGAGACCAATTCCCTCCATAGGGACACCTTAATTTCCTCCGTGCCATCATTTACTCTTATGTTTCGGACCTCAACGTCAGATCCTCTAACTTGTACGGTGCGTACCATCTCTTCCTGCAATTCAATGAATTGTGTAAAAAGCATTTATTTGAATAAATTTATAAAAGTGTTTTTCCAGAATGCTAGTCTGTGAAAAACATGATCATATTGTCAAAGCATCCTAATAAATGTGTGCGTATTTAAGATAAAGTATTTCCTAGTTCCATGATGTTGAGTTTACTGCATGTATTTTACATGCAATTTCAGACGTCAGAAGAAGAAATTAAAACATGTAGTCAAGTTAAAACAAACCCAAGCTAAGAATCCAAAGAACCATGAAGTTCTTACATTGCAAGGGTACTAATGATTTAAGACTGAAACTAAATTATTTAATGAGTCACTTATTTTTCCAAATACATATTCTATGGCATAGTAGAATATTACATTGTATATTAAAATTATTAATATGTATATTCTCATCTTCTTCAGTTGTAATTACCTTCATTTCAAAAGATTTAAACGAAGGTTTGAAGACTAAGATTGTACATGTAACACTGAATGAGCTGTCGCCCTGGTTAATCCACGTCTCGCTTTCCCTAAGTTTAAAGATCCAATTCAGCTGGGCCAAAATAAAACATTAAAATAAAAAATGCTTACCGAAGTCACTCTTCCTTTAATTGTCACCATTGTCTTCACAGGAGATGTTTTGACATCTCTTATGGCAACAGACTTTGCAGGCAAGGAGTTGGCAATCGATTTCGCTGTTGCCTGCAGATGTGGTGGTACATTAATCAGTAAAGTCTTCATGACCTTGCTGACAGTTGTTAGAATAATGCAAGGGCACGGGTCTATTTTGTAGACATAATTAGTCAACAGGACACTGTCTTGGTCCTTCACAGAAGTAAGTTTACTCAAATCGTATAGGACAATTTTGATAGCGTCCTCTTGATCAGCCGCACCCAACGTGACCGACTTCCTCTCTCTGCCATCTGCTGTCATGTATTTGGAAGGGTTTGATGATCCAAATATCCTAACCCTAAGAGGGTTGGAGTAGGGTTTGGGCTTGGAAGCCTTTAGCTTCTTGATACTGAACATCTGTAATTGTAAAAAATTTAAGAAAGTTAAATCATGCTTCAGTTTTGTATTGACTCCATACATTTGAAGGTTTAAATTATTTTTAGACTGAAACATACTCATTAGTATTGTACTTACATGTTTAACTAAATTTTGCTTTTAATGGTTTTGATTATTTCTTATTAAGTTAAGTGGTTACCATAGGTAGACTTTTTGCTTCGATTAAATCCTTCTATGATTATTAAGATTTTGTCATAAAGGAACTAACAATTTAACACTAGTAGGAAAATAAACAAAAAAAACCTACAAAAAATTGTATAATTTCATGTCAGACTAGTTAAAAGTTACAAACAATGACTTATGGTCAGAGTAATATGATTCTAGTACTCCCCAGGAATATACATGATCACAGTCAACATTTGTGAATGCTAGATCTAACACAGAATTGTAGTCAGTCGTGCTATCAGTCTCCAAGTATCTGAGATTGAATTTTCCCAACAAAAAATGCTGAAAATCTTTGAAAGTCCCAGAATCTAAATTGAAATCACCTCCAATCAACAGTGGGTTTTCAAGGGAACACAAAATCTCTTCTACTACTTCTTTGACAAATCTCAATGGGGTTTTAGGGGGAACATAAAGTGATTTTATTGTTGTCCAATCATTGTCAGAAGCTACATCCAGTGAGAAAACCTGGATATTGTTAATCATGGTCCTGTGAATATTCCTTACTATTAATGATTCTCTCAAGAAGAAGGCTAACCCATATCTTGGCCTCTGATCGACACATGGATAATCAAATCTGTTCGTTGTATATCCTGGTAAGTGGAACAATCTTTGATCATACATTCTCGAAAGATGAGTTTGAGATATTGCAATGATATCTGCAGATAATATACTGTAATCTTTCTCTAGGTCTTCCATGTGACAACGAAGTGATCTAATGTTGTAAAATACAACTTTTATAACAGATGAAGGTAGTCTTTCCAGATTTTCAACACACATTTTAGCCAGCGACTCACTTCTCAACCTATCCATTTCTTCAAGCACTGCATTAGAAATGGAAATTTTTTTGTCATTCAGATGAAGTATGTGCAAACTATTAATATGAGTAACCCTGCTAAGGCCAACATAATGAATATGATCACTTTTTCGGGAACCAAAATGAACTACTGCACTTTGCATGGTTGACCCTTGTGCCTTATGAATAGTTTTAGCAGCAGCAAGTTGCAATGGAAATTGCCGTCTTTTCACTTGATATACCCCACCCATCTGCACTTTGAAAATTCTGGTAATTTCCATTATGGGAGTCCAGCTCTTCTCCACACCAGTATGATAAAACCTGGCATACTCTTGTCTCAATTTTTGACCAGATATTTCATCATCAAACTCAACCCAAACAATGCTTACTCTGGAAGAGTCTTGAACAAGGTAATCAAAGTATTTAATAATACAAGATGATCCATTTGTGACACCATCTTGAGTCAGAATGAGGTTGACCCTGTAATGATAGTGTCCTGAAACCGAATTTGAAAACATCGCAACTGTTGTAAAATCGTCCTCTTTGAAATACATGTCCTCACAGGTCTCTGAAAAAAGACTTAATCCAGCAGACATCATCAGGTAAAATACCTTTGTCATCTAATTACAAAGGTAAACCCCACTTCAATACCTGCTTCTGCAGGTCCTGCAGTTGCATATGCGGCTGCACCAAAAGCCGTAGCTGCAGCTACATCAAAGCCAGCAGCTGCTGGTAAATCAACAGGGAGACAAAACAAGTCTCCCTCAAAAAAACATCCCAAAACAGTCGAGGGATCGGTTGCCCAAAGGGGAACGAGATGCTATCACTCTCAACAATAAATCTGGGGTCTTCGAAGAGATGGATATTACACCTTGCCATTCCTCCTCGCAAGTCCGAAGTACGTCACCCAATAAAAATAAAACGTGGATATCCCCCATTTCTCATACTAAATAAACATTAATCATCCTACGTTTATACAATGGAATTGTCGAGGTTTTAAAGTCAACTTTAACAAATTATCTTTACTTATTCAGAACCATTGCCCGGTAGCTATATGTTTACAAGAAACACATTTAAAAGAGATAAAATTAACATTAAAAACTATAGTATGTACAACCATTATGCTCAAACTGCGAGAACATCTGGTGGTATATGTACTTCTTTAGCAATTAATAATACATACATTCATAGCCAACTAGTTTTAAAACACTATGAAACAGAAATTACATTTTATTTTTAACCTAGAATGCAATATATCTTAAACTGGGAACCTACAAAGAAAAACACAAAGACCTTGCATTTAGAAGAAATATTTTACTGAGGTCCACATAACATGGATTTCTTAGACGCCCTCAAACCAAATTTATTGCTATCATGTTGTTTGAATTTAATATTTAAATAAGATATACACTAAAATGTTTGCATGTGCCGTGTGGCCCTCTCCTGAGGGACATTCACAATGACTGTTCATGATGTCTCCTGAAGATTTCTCAAACTTCACTTTAATGTTATATGTTAGCTGCGATAAATTTGACAAAAATATAAATTATAATTATACACTATGTAATATTAAATAAATATAATAACAAGCAAATTCAAAGAACTACGGACCCCCGCTTTCGGTTTCTTAGTGAATAGGATGGTGTTATTTATGGCATATTGTAACTGCTTTGTTTGTGTGTCTTGTTATCATACAAGACATACATTACTGAATTAAAAACAGTTATGGCATAGATTATAGATTCTCAAAACTACATGCACATGAGAAAAACATATGAAAGCCCTGTCCCTTATAGAGCAGTAAATGCCATATCTGCTCTCAATCTTGTTAAAATTTAATTTAGCCGTCAAGTTCCAGGGATCAACAATCATAGCATGTTTGGAAACATCTTGTCACAGGTAATGCACATGGTAAATATGATAGTCCTATCTTTTCTCAATCAAAAGTTATAAGTAAAGAAAACAACCAATGTTCAAGGTCAAGGGATCAAAAACTATTAATAGTATATTTGGATAGGTCTTGTCACAGGTAATGTATATGTGTAATATGAAAGCCCTATCTTTTCTCATTCAAATTTTTTGACCAATTCAAAGTAATGTTAAAATTTTTGAAAAGTAGATCAAACTTCAAGGTCAAGGCGTCAAAAATCATGATAGTAAATTTGGAAAGGTTTTGTCACAGGTACAGTGTATGTACAGTACATACGAAATATGAAAGCCCTATCTCTTCTTAATCAAAAGTTCATCGTTTATCGTTTATTCTAATTTAAACTAAAATGTCGGTTCACACTGTCTCTACATATATTTCTGTCTTAGTTCATGCTATCAGATTGATTCAGTCTGCATCTCGTAAGAATCCTACAAATTTTCTTGAATAGCATTGCAGTCAGTGCGTTGAAAAAATCCTTAGGTAAACGCAACGGAAATACACCAAGAATGTATCACTTATCAGTTACGATAACGTCCAAGAGAGTTTTGACTTTACGTTATATAGTCTCTCTCGGGTGTTTCCAAAATGGAAACGGCACGTTTCCGAGGAAATCCTTGATAAAGCCACGCATTAATACGCTTTATACTGTTGAACAAGGCAGTGTTGATTACTGTCGTTGTATAACATTGTCACTGTACAATTCATATACTGGTACATATGTAGTATTATACATGTATTACTTTGTGTCTCATGAAATTAAAAAAAATTAGGTTGCGTATTGAAAGTATCATCCTTTCTGTTATTAACATTCAAACTTTCCCGATTTAGGTGGGATCTTCCCGATTTTACCCCTCGGTCCCGCTATCCCGATCGGGAAAGCAGAATTACCCTCAAATCCCGATTTGACAATTTTCCGACCCAAATTTCCGTTTTGAAACGAGTTTGAAAGCGGGATAATCGTAAAATCTCGTGAAATATTCCCAATATTATTATTAACCAATGAAATCCCTCGAAATCGTCAAGCTTAAGTCGCGTGTCATGGCCAATCGGGAAAGATTACCTGTGTGTGCTGTGGTGTACTGCGATGTTTGTTTAGTCAATTATGAGCATGTATGATGTTTTGATAGTAATTAATGTTAATCGGGAGTATGGGGGAGATCAATCGGAATCCTCACTTTTCGATTCACCATGGGTGCAACACCACCACGAAAGAAGAGTAAAGCAGCATCGAAATACTTGGGAAAGTGAGAGGCTGACGCTAGATTTACAGGATGGCTGGCGAAGTCAAAGTAAGGACAGTCTCATGCATACTGCAGAGTCTGCAACAGAGCATCTTCTCTAGCCAAGGGTTTTTGATCCGCTACTCTCCTCACAAACCCTTGGCATACGGTGTTATTAAACGTTGGGTTTTTTTCTCGAGTTGTGATTGGATTTGATCGACATCGTTCGACCAGTCAGCAATTGCTTTAATTTGTAAATGATGATATTTGCCTTCGGGATATATCTTGATTCTTTAGTCTCGGGAATGAAAAACACACGTAAACAACGATTCGTAAGATATAACATGCCACTGTATAAATAGATATGGTGTCATCCATCCTTAAGCTGATGTACAAATATTGTGATCAGGAATCTTGTTTTAGATGTAGATTTGCACGGTAAATAAGAAATAAACATTGCTCGATATCTTCTTGTTAATTATTCTTTAAAAAATTAAATTTTCAAATACAACTTTTATTTTTGTCGATGACGCAATTTGTGCGTATGTTGGAAGATTCGAGATCACGTCTCGTAAACAATCCCAACTTTTGACTGCACCGTATGCCAAGGGTTTGTGAGGAGAGAAGCGGATCAAAAATCCTTGGCTAGCGAAGATGGCAACAGAGACTTCAAGGTTGACCATGGTGGACTGAATGACGTGACGAAGCATATTGAACACAGCTCTGCACCAGAGTACTTTGAAGTCACAGAATTCAACTTCTGCCAGAAACTTCTTCGCGAGTTCAAAACTCGACCAAGATGAGGGTAAGTTGATGTTTAACTCTATGATAATGAACTCTTTTCTCTGTTATACGTGTT